TCAGTTGAACGTTTGTCCTATCGCGCACGGTTTGCTCGTGCAGGACCCAACTGGAAGGGACTACGCGGTAGTCCACCATCCACCTGGCGACAGCATATGAAATCGTTGACTTCACGTCTTGCCACCGTTGGATCCACACGTCTGCCTGGTTGGGGACCAAAGGACGAGGAGTGCCGATGACTGGAAACAATTCAGGAAGGGTCGTACTCGAAACCAGTGGAGGATCTGCGTACATAATTGTTTAGATTTGGGTGCTTAATGCTTACCGATCGAAAAGGATAAAAAATTTGAAAAATGGCGTGCGCAAAATAATAAAAAATGCTCCATTTTACCTGTTATTACGGCACGATAGCTGAAGTGTGTTGCTCACCTACAGTTAATGTGTCATGATGATGACACGGTTTTAAACCCGTCTTCTTTCAGTGATTTCCATGGTTTCGTTTGGCTCTATGTCTATCTAATAGACTACCGCCTATACTACTACTACTATTTAGAAGTACTGCTTCCCAATGAGTGTTGGGGAAACGGAGTTCAATGATAAAGTGATTGTCTTCCACAAAGTTGTGTTGAGACGCACATTAGCTGAAGTGTGTTTCATACTCTCAGCTAACGTGTATTGATGATGATGTTGAGACGATCTACTTGACAGTTACCTTGCGGATGGAAAGCTGTCGACCGACTGATGGCTATATCTTTACTGTGAAGGAATGTTTTCAATTCACCGGGCATAAACGAAGCCCCTCGATTGGAAGGAATATACGAGCGAACTCTGAACAGTGAAAACACGTGAGCCAAACGGTGAAGTGTGATGGAAGTGTCAGATTAGTGAGCGGATGGACCAACCGAGCAAGCCAGACAGCCAATGGGAGGCGAGCGTAACGGACTCAATTACTGGATTCGGATTGACCGGTATTCGTGTGAGTGATTCACCGTTTGTTTAACTGAAGCAAACGAGGAACCTCCTCGACACAGAAGTGTCGTTAATTACGGACTTGAACGTGTAACTTGTATCAAGGAGTTTGGCTTGCCAAACATGCGGTAATATTTGCCGACTTGACTTCGTTGAATAAAACCCTGTCCCTGAAGGACTGAGTTCTGCAACAAAAGGACTGGATGTGAGGACATGTCTGCGCAATGGAATGCGAATGGGAATAGATGATATCCATCAATCGTTACTAACATGAATCGGTGTGTGATGTGGACGGAATGGACCTTTGAAATCTATACTAAGCCTCTCGAATGGAGCTGTAGGTTTGACTAGTTTGCCATTCGGTGGTTTGTTAAAACGGCGTTTCCATTCGGCCCACGACTTGCACCTTGAGATGACAGACTTAAAATCTCAATTCAAGTCAGCATAAATTGTATATACTTAAATGGGTGTAGTTTCAGCATTTCTACATTACCAACTGTAAATGTACCAAATCGGTAGTAGCAAAAAGGCAAACTATACAAATAGGTAGAAAAACTGGAAGAGTGCACTGTCATAACTCAATCGAGCAACAATCCCATAATGCTGAACTAAACCTTCGGCATTTGCATCCAACCAAAAACGGAAATGGTTTCATTAAAACTTTTCTTCATAATACGTTACAGTCGACACAAAATTTTGTGTCCAACTACACTAGATCGGGGATCGTGCGTGATATCTCTTAAATACAAAAGGTGGATAGAGTAGATTATTCTCAGTGATCTTGGAAGTTGATTAAACAAAAAATGATATATCTACAGTAGCTAAGGTAAGAAAAGATGTCCGGCTAAAAAGGTAACCGCCGATTTAAAGGTCCCGCCAGATCCAATGGAAACTGGAAAACTCATGGAACGCACGGATTGGAATAGCCGATTAAATCCAGGGTGACACAACTTGTCACATAGTTTGTTTAAATCAGCGAAAGTTGTAGAAGCAGCGAAACTGATCCAAGATAACGCATCGGCTGCGATGTTGTTCCTCCCCAGACGATAGATAATGTCGAACTGAAAACAAGACAACTCCATCTGTCGTCTCATAATTTTGTCGTTCTTAGTTTTACCCTTTCGCTTGTTATCACACATAAATGCAACGGAAAGCTGGTCAGTAACGATCTTGCTGGTTCCCGAGTAGGCAATGTACCCACTTTCTAAAAGCATCAACAATGGCATAGGTCTCTTTTCGATTGCTGAATGTCTTCTCTTACACACTAATAAGGTTCTAGAGAAAAATGCAAGCGGTTCTCCGCTCTGGTTCAATGTTGCTGCAATGGCAACGTCAGAAGCATAGGTTTTCACTACCAGAAGGACTTAGGGATCAAAGGTGAACAGCGCTGATTTCTCCAACCCGTGCTTCAAGTCGTCAAAAGCCTACTTAACAGTTTCGGGGAACGGAAAAGTTGTGTTGTGAACAATACAATGAATGCTACCAGAAAAAATAGGAATCCATCGGGAGTAAAGGGCGAACATCCCGACGACACGATGTTGAGACGCCAGGTCATGCGGCGGAGGGAGTTCACGCAATGATCTGAATCGATCAGCGTCCAGCCTGAGTTTGCCTTTGGATACTTTGAATCCCAAGACAGTAATTTTCTGCACACTGAAAATACTTCTGTCCTGGTTAAATGTCAGTCTATACATTGATGTCACAGATAGAGACCGCTCGAGATGGCAGTTACGCTTTTTGTGATTCTCTCCGCAAATGATGTTATCTACATACACAAAAGTACTAGACAGCTGTTCGCTTCCAAAAAGACTACTTAGAGCTTTTGGGAAATATTCCAAGCTGTTCGTAACTTCGAAGGGAATGCGACGAAAATGATATAACTTTCCGTAAGCTTCAAAGGTAGCGCACACTTTTTCACAACGTTTATAAGTACCTGATGGTAAGCAATTCGTAGGTGCAAAGTGCAAAAATATCGTATTGAGACATCTACCCAACTAGTTCATCGATCCGAAATAACGGAAACGAATCGAGATAGGTGAGCCGGTTGATGGTCTGGCTGTAATCGGTACCCATCCGCCTTTTGTCTCTCGTTAGTAGTCACAAGCGCTTGGGCGCGTCAAGGAGACTTAGACGGTTCGTTTAGCTGTTCATTAAGCAGTCGTCGGATTTCAGCTTGAAATATTAATCCTCAATCGCAGAGTATCGCCGTGACTTCGTGGCAATGGGACGAATATCGGGGGGCAAATGCCGGAAAAAAAGATGCGGTACGATGCGCACTGCTGTCAGCCCGCAGAGAGAAAGGGGTGGTGTCTGACCACCAAATGGGATTTTAAGCCGTGCATTGAGTCTATGAAAGTCATGACCGAGCAAAACCTTAGCGCAGAGGTCGAGCAACGCTGACAACTTGAACTACAGGCAAACGTTATGCTTATGCATAATATCAACCAGATAGTGGCCCTTCGTAAATGTAGCGTGTGACGTCAAATCCATAGTAATTTGGTTGCAGGAGCGATGTAATTTCCAGTGGTGCTGGTATCCTACGGGGGATGAAATTCAGCTCTCAGAGCTACCTGTATCGACGAATTGGATAAAGCAACCCGGTTAGCGGTTATTTTCATCGCTGCATCCGTAAGACAAGGTTGTACGGCAGCAATGGTTAAAGATATGAGTGAAGTGTCTACGGCAGACATGATGCGTTTATCATGCCTGCAGGATCGACACACCTTTGGAAGTGGCCGAGTTTACTACAATATTTACATGCTGCATTGTTGGCAGGACATTTTGAACGAGGATGTCTTTCATAAGCACAAAGTAACAATATGAGTTGGCAGCAGCAGTTAATCTTATCAGAAGCTGGTTTTATGAACGAGTTGGAGTCGGTGGTGGGCGCTTTGAGACCCACACCGCACAAAAGTGAATCTGGTTTTGAGTGGGCTGCGGACTGCACATGTGCCAGTTACATTGATCTGGCTTTGTCAAATGCGGTCTCACAATCAAGAGATCTGTACTTCAACAGCCTCCGTCGAATTTTATTTGGTATCATCCTGTTTCGCAGTAATCTTGCTTTTTAGAGGCATGTAAAGGGTGAATAATGTCGATATGGCTGCATCCTAAGACGTGCAATCAGCGATTAGTTCAAAGCTGACAGCAGAAATAAGATTGACAAGGGTTTTAAGTGTCTGGCTGCAGTGCTTCGATTGTGGACAAAAATTCTCAAAAGTATAGATTCAATGTTTTTATGGAGATGCAGCTTTGGGACTGTCAGAATCAATATTGCAGTGACCAAGTCGAAGAATACATTCCATAAGAGAACTACAAATCAGTAAATTGATACGGCTGAGTACCAAACGAGTGCGTCGGCTCAGACAAAGAAGTTGAAGGATCGACACAGAGTGTGAGCTATAAAGCAAACAATACAAATATAACGAGTGTAGAACAAATACACAACAATATCATAACAGTAACATCGGCAAATTGGTAGGTCAAAGTACGTCGATGGGGCCGAGCTAGATAGCAAGTAAGTTCGCAGTGCGTACCTTATTGTGGATTGTACTTGGCTTCCAGGATGCGACACACCAGAGGTACTTATTATCCCGAGGAGCGAAGAATCGCTTGCGGAAGAAACTAAAGGATGATAGTTCACTCTATCTTCAACTGAACTCTCTCTTTTTAGTTACAACGCACATATTGGCCAGTGGCCAACCGAATGGTAGACGGGCCAAAGGCAAGAGTAAAACATATTCGCCACGTTGAAAAGAACTACCAAGAAGGAGTCAAGGGGTGTGAGAGTCCGAGTAGAGATTGGGCGCGAGCGCAACGAAAAATGGCTATACGGGGAACGGCATACAGAAACGATGTGTGACTGATATGCTTTGATCCAGCTAGCAAGCAAAAAGCCTAGTAATCAAATACATCCAATTCGCTGTGCTAAACTGACCGCTGTGCTGTCTTAGCTAGTTGTGGGAATCGAAAGCAATCAAAAGAGCTCGAGAAGAAGAAAAGGGTAGTAAATGAATAAGCGCAGCCAGTGGCGGTGGAGAGACAAAATTGTAAAGATGGGAAGCCAATGGTTGTCTAAAAGTAAACACACCTGAACGAATGAAAATCGGTCCCGACCTATCTCCAATAACTGCTCCGTTTCCACCGTATTGGAGCAATGTCCCAGCTGGTTCGCTCCTCGTGAATTGTAGCGAGTACCAACTCGATCCACACATCGACGAGAAATGAGAGCGTAACAAGCTTGGTCTGGCCCGATAACTCCATTAGCATCGGATATTATGCCCACAAAGCCGTGAATAATGGGGAGGCAGTATGCGAAGCGATTCCAAGTGGACGCTTTGGATGCGTCATTGATTGAACGTAGGGCGGCCGCGGAGAGCTGCTCAGCCCAATTATCCAGTAAAAATCGATTCCAAGTGAAGCGTGGATCGCACTGAAAAGTACGCGGTGGAAAATGAAGCAGGTTAGTGATACAAGCTGGCAAACGAAAAACAATGGAAAAAAAACAGAAATAGCACACATATGCCTTTGTGGGAAATCAAGTTAGGAAGATACGTGACAAGACAAAGGTCTCCCCAGGAATTATGACTATACCATATCGCTAAATGCAGTTGAGTTGAACCGGTTTGGAAAAAACGGAAAGGAGGCACAACATAGCGAAACGAGCCATCTTGCTAGTAAACGACAGGCGGAATGCAACCACATGGAGCGCTGGATAGACATAAAGAGGCTAAGTGAACTTCTGGTGCGTGTACGATAAGAGATTAACATCAGTGAAGAATAGGAGCAGGTTGGACACGAAGATAGCAATGGCAGTGTTCCACCAGTCTGTATTTCAAATGGATATAAGGAATGGCTTTTTATAAAATTACTGGGGTAAGAATACATTTAACTGATAATTAGAATGTGGGCAACAGCGTAATGCAATAATTTTTCTTCGAGCTACTGAGAACACTTCATTTTTGTTTGAGTGAATTATCTTGGGATATTGTGTATAAGGGATAAGTTTCTGTTATTGGTCGTAATTTCTATCTGTATGTTGTGGGAGCGTACCATATATGCTTATTTAGTGGTTTGCATCCATATACACCGAGAGCTTTCATGTTGTCAGCCGTTGCTTCATCAAAAACGTCAGCTTTTACTACTTTTCGTTCCCCGTAAGGGAGCGCTTATTTGCGTTTACACACCAAACTGTTCTCTTAGCTAAATGCATACTAATCACTTTTAAAGATAGTAATTCCATAAAGTGACATTATAAGTATTTTTGCGGGAAATGTGACATGTAACCTTTATCTTAAAGGAATTATTCTTTTCTCGTCTATTATTTGAATTTGAATTTCCGCGCTACAGACTGGTGGAACGCTACCGATAGCGATAGGGGGAGCTCATATCCTGTCTTAGTCATCGTAATGAGGTTAGACCGTATCGTGGTGAGAAGGTTTGCGTGCATCAACGATCCACCGAGTAATGCTTTTGCATCTTCCAGGATTACATGATATTTAGGGTATTTCCAGTTGGCGGCTTACATGCATAGTCAATGGTCAGAGGCCCGACAAACTCAGTTCCTTGGTTCTCTAGGTTGAGGGTGCGAACGAATATAGCTCCATATTCCGTAAAACGGTCTCTCTGTAGCTCACCGCCAAACTCCCGGTGCCCTGAGATCAGATTGTTGAACCAAACGTTTTGGTTGAGAACCCTAACCGTGTGAAAATGTGGAAACATTTAGTAACACTCGTAAATTGCCTCGACCGGAATACGATAATGACCATACCCACATGGGAGAAATCACTCGATAAACTATTCAAAAGTGGTCCAAAAACGTATAAATACCCATCTTTCCTAAGTTTAGCTTTCACCTCAACCATCCATTATATGACTATAATATGAATTTCATATCAAAATATTGTACATATGTGTATCGCCCATGCAGGAACATGGTTACTCTTGTACACAGTGATCTCAGCTGCTACAGACATTTTCTCGGAGCACGAAAAACATAGGTATCATTATTCTTATTAATCGTTCTCTTGTCTAGGCCAAGGCAGCCTGACGGTATCCTGCCCACACAAAGCAGCGAAATTTGCGTCAAACGCTTTAATGATGCTCAGGCCGCCGCAGAGGATAATCAACGGCGTTCTACCTGCTGCATCAAACGGAGTACGTGGGAGTGAGGATGGTACTGCTCAAGCCGATCCGTCTATCTAATCAACCGCTTACGCTTTTTCATCCTCACCGTTACGTTCCAACTCCAATTTTACCCTCCCGTTTTCAATCTCCCAATTCCTGACCCTCTTCTACCTTGCTTTGACAAACGTTTGCCTACTAGTTTCAAATCAAAGAATCTCAGAGCGCCAGTTCTGCTCTGTCGGCAAGTATATGTGCAACCAAGTGGACAAATTCGGTTCACTTGCTTCTACGTGGAGCCCTTGATCTTCGCTAATATCGACAAGCTTCGAGATACGTACTTTGTTACACATCGGTCGACGGGCAGCAATTGAACGGACACTAGAAAACCTATCGATCGGTTTGGTACAAATGTACAACTATGATCCGGGCAGCGAAGTTCGGTGGAACCAACTGCCACGACCCACGTTGTTAGATTAACAACGATAAGAAAAGGAGGTTGAACGCAAGTATGTTGGAATAATCGGGATGGCATTAAGATTAACAACCAGAGACAGGAAACCTAATGCAAGAAAGCTTTTAACTGCGCGGTGTCCGACAGACTCCTGGTGTGGACCATCCCGAAGCCCCCATCCACGAAGCGACACGTATCAGTCTAAGTATCCCAATTGATTCTCTATGTCCCTATCCCACTTCGTTCACTGGCCACCTCGCGGTTTCGCCCAAGTTGGTACAGTGACGGTCAACGGGCATACGGAGAACATGACCTAGCGAACGTAAGCAACTAAATACTGAGAATAAGAGAGAGAGAAGATAAAAATCTCTGTTGCTCCACCTTAGGTAGATTGGGCACTTGCGCGGAATCAGGTCACTGATTCCTGCACGGTGGCAGCATATTGCAGCTGCACTACACCTTATCCGGGTGCGATACGCTCGCTATACCTGTAGTCCGAAAAGTTGGCGTCAAGGAATCTGCTAAATTCCGACACCGATTTCGCCTCGACTAGCGTCTCCGGCAACTTGTTGCAATCTTTCGACACTCGATGCTCGAAGCAGAGGGTGAGCGGTGTGCTTTAAAGGCGATACCACTAGTTTGTACCGGTGCCCGCGTGTGCTGCTTGGTGAGCGAACGTGCAGCGGCGGCTTCAATATAAGGAAGTGGCCCAGATGCAGTGTCCGGTGCGTTATACGGAGATCAACTGGAAGCCGAGGTTATGACAGGGCATAAAACCCTAGTCTCCTATATCGGTCCTCATACGACATATCCCGTAAACTGGGGATGAGCCGGGGAGCTACATACTTGGCCCGTTCCAGTCTCTGCACCTCAGCAATGGTGATCGGGCAATAGGCGAGTGAGTCGTACTCAAGAACCGGTCTTATTATGGAAGAGAACAGACGAGTGGCAATCTCTTCAGATCAAGTGCAGAAGCTGCGTCTAAGTGCCCAAAGCAGGTGTAGTCCGTTTGCGTACAGTCTGTTCGTGTTGTCGACAGACTTCAGATCACAGCGTGAGAGAACGCCTAGATCCTTTACGGAACTGGTGGGTTGCCGGCCATGGTGTACGCACGCCAATTAGTACCCCTTCCCAGGCTCATAAACGAGGACTTGGCCGTGTTGACGGTAGGTCAACTTCTGCAGGCTACCGGGGTTGGCGATCGAGGTTCTGCTGAAAGACGTCACAGTCGCCAAGAGAATCAATAATCCTCCAAATATTCAGGTCATCCGCAAATAATGTGCAGGGCGGCCGAAGAAGCTGAAGTACTTCGTTGATGTGGATCAGGAATAAAATGGATCCAGTACTGTGCCTTTGGGTACGCCGCTAGTGGGCCAGTACCATTCCGTTAGGTGATCATCCATCTGAACGCGCCATCTTCTCCCAATAAGGAAGTCACTGTTCCACTGGTGTATTGTGCCAACAACACTACACATTCTCAGCTTGTGGAGCGGGACCTCATTGTTCACTTTGTCGAAAGGTTTACTGAGATCAAGGTAGCTAACATTCACCGAGTTCCCCAATCCAATGTTTGCAACCATTACAGCCGCGTCAACAGCAGGTTGGTGATGCACGAGCGGCGCTTCATTAAGCAGTGCTGTGCTGGCGTTAGATCTCTCGACTCCAGCAGATGGAGAAGACCCTTTGTCCCAATCTTCTCCAGCACTTTCGTTAAAACATAGGTGAGACAAATCGGCCGGTAATTGTCTACATTGTGTGGGTTACCACCTTTTGGAATCGGCTTCACTACCGAACATTTCTAGTTGCTCGGCAATGCACCTTCGGATAGCGGTCTGTTGAACAGATCCGTCACGGCAGGCGAGATGATGGCAGATAAGGAATTCAAAAATAGCGAGTGAAGTCCAAAGGGTGCGGCAGGTTTTGTGCCATCATGACTAGCGAGTAAACTGCGGATATCTTCTACACCGCAATAAAGGCCCTCGAGTTCAGCAGGGGCTGCACACGTCGAGCTCGGCAAAGGCGCATGACTACTAGTAAATACAGTGGCGAAGTGCTCCGCTAATGCGGATGCGCCTTTAGTGCTGGAGGTCACAGGCTGTCCGTCAGTGCTCTCTAACACAGCAACGTCACTTGCCAGCCTCAGACGCCGCTTCACTTAAACAAAAATCTTCTTAGGGGCTGTCTTCGCTGAGGTTGCAAGCTCCTCTTCGAGCTGCCGACGCTTTCGCGCTGTTGTTTAGATTCCGCTGCCTTTTGCACGCGTCATAATCGTCGGCAGATCCAGACAGGAGAAATGTATTCTACAATTTGTGTGGAGTCAATTGACTATGCTCACCGTCGAAGCAATTTGACTTCAATGGGTCAGCATTCTGATATTTGAGGGGTAGGAAACGAGTGCACAACGATTGCACGCCCACTTTTATAACAGAACAACAGGGTCCAACAGATGAATCTTGTGGTAGCAAACAGTCCACTTCACTGGCGACTCTCTTTAGACCATTGAAGTCGGTCTTCCAATAATTATGGGATGGCTTCGGTAGACGCGAGTATGGCAGCGACAGCACTAGGTTGGCTAAAACCATCGAGTTGTCACTAGCTGCCAGAGAGTCCAGGACCTGAATTGCGTGTACACGTTGCTCGCAACTCGTTAGCAGTAGGTCCACGCACGATGGAGCGGAATGCCGTGTAACGCGCGTGGGTTGGCAGACATGTGCTGGCCTAGTTTCAAATACCATCTCCGCAAACTGCGTCTCGATTTCAGTGCCCAGTTAGAAGTTGAACCTCAGGCCACCGTATTCGAGGGTAGTTAAAATCACCCATGAGCAGGAAGCTGGGCCGACTCATGTAGTTTCTGG